GGGTTTTCTAGATACCTTTGGGTTCTATAGGTATCTTTGGGTTCTATATAGGTACTTTCGGGTTCTAAAGGTGTCACTTAGATGTTGAATACTAATAAAATATTGAATTATAAATTTTTTTGTTATTTTGTATGTATTTTTACTGTTTTATAGGTTTATTTATAGAAGATGAACGAGACAAAGGTACATACAAGCAAACCACCACATTTAAAATCAATATTTATACATGTACATAAATTATAATATTCATAATTAGCTATAATTTGTTGTACAGTACAGGTGTGAATCCAGATAATGTGCAATTAATATGTTTCATTTCATAATTTTTATTGCATTCATGGATCCATGATACGATAATGTTCAAATCCGAAGAACAAAGTTCTCGACATTTCAACATTTCATTTCATAAATTGTATAGAAATATGGAAAATATAATGAAAAATTTATGTGCTTTTTTTTATCTTTCTAAGAACTACAGGAAAAAGACATTGCTTAGAAATATATTCTAATTTCTGGGCTCTGTTAACAGAAAAAAATTGCAATGTTCATTAAACAAATGTTCTAACTTTTTTTGGAATCACACCTGTATTACATAATTGATAATCATAAATTTAATTGTACTTTCTTATATATCTTTCTTACATAAAGGGAAGTAATTTAATATGAATTTCAAAGGGGGGTAATTACAACCAGATTTCATCAAGAGGATTTTTGCTGAATGTGCTGTTTTTAAATAAATATATTGTTCTGCATATGATACTGTATTTACCTGCACAAATGTACAATGTATGTAGTTACTCCAATAGAGGCACATATTGCAATAAATATATGAGAGCTCATGCATTATAAAGTGTCATAACTTAATTTTTACAACCCTTATTTCGCTTAATTTGCAACTTGGACTTGCTCAGATTTGAATTTGGGAAGTGTACATTGTAAATGTTAGGGTTTAACTTTTGTATGAAAATGTTAATATTTGTTAAAGCAGTCAATGGTATTAAATGCCTCACTGGTCAGTCTGCACTGATGATGTAAGTAGGCTGGCCAGTAACTCAATATCAATACAGTTTCAACTGAAACTGAATATCAATACAAGGGCAAGTCATTATTGCTGACTAAGCAATTCTAAGGGTTGGAAATATATTTAAGTTATCATAAGAGACAGTGTTAGAATATAAGCCTTTAATCGTATGCTTCATAATGCTTTTTATTTTAGAAGCGTATAATGCTGTTAGTGCTACAATTGCAGCAATCCCAGGATTCTTAGAATTAAGTAAAGTTTAACATACAAAAAAATAAAAATAATAAAGCTTCAAATTTACATTCCTGACCATCATCTTTTTTCAGAACATTTCAAGTCACTTGGACTTGATTATGTACTGGTAGATCTTTATATTAGATTTTGTAAATCTTGATTCCATGAATTTTGAATTTGAAAATTGCTGATTCGCTTCCCCTTTACTTTTGATTTTTTCTTGCCGTCTGCATAATAAGTATTATGTCATATTATAATGTTGTCAGACACAATTTTCTAAAAGTCAATGATTATAATATTATTGCATAGACGTCTACCGTATACAACATATATCATACAATATTATAGTTATTATACTTAATGTTTATTTTCTATTATCCTCATTGTAACCATTTCATATTTTAGATTTATTTTAAACCTGTTGATGGTATGAAATGATGTAAACAACTTGTTTTATATAAATATAGGGGGTGACATTTTATATAGAATAATGTTAAATGAGTGAAAGTTGACGGCGAGTCTGTGTCTAGGTTATTTAAGCTCATTTATGGCAACAAACATAATCATTATTAAGTTTTATTTTACAAAAACATGATGTTGTAAAGGTAGAATAGTTGCAAACTCTCTTCCATCCCCTCTGCAAAATCACTATTTGGTGGTGAGTTTCATGTTTTATTAAAGGCCTATTATGTCTCAGAATTGCTAACATTTTCATTTCACAAAAACTTTAAAATTGTTGGTATCTTGTCGCAGTTTCCAGAAAAAATTACTTTGTTTACATTTTGCTACCTTTACAGTATAATCGTTTCTTGCACATTCAGCACTACATTTTTCAGCTGTTAAACATTTAACATACTCACTCTATGATTAAAAACAAGTGACATTTCTAAAGAATTTAATAAATATAGATTTCTGAGGCATAATGTGCCTTTAAGGAATAATGTTAGGTATTATAGTTTCCATAGAAAACAAGTGGTATCATGTGATAAATAAATAAGGAAACGTTTCAGTGACAGCGGGTATGATAAGCCTAATTATATTTTGTCAAAGTGACACGCCTGTCATTGTCAAGTGTAAAAACAGTTAAAATATTAGCTTTTTGAAGTTTATTATAAAAGGTGTAATCACGCCATAATCGTGCAAAGCCTGTTTTAATAGTCTTACATTCTTGTAGGGTTCTTAAGTCGGATAATCTGATTATGAATGTATAGTTTTGTCTGCAATTTGACGTTTTGACATACTCGAGATTTAATGATTTAAGCCGTAAGGTTGGTCGTTGATTGTTTAATCTATGATTTAACACCTGCAAGGGGTTATCTGTTCTTTGCAAAGTGCAATAATAATACAGGCTATCACATTACATTGTTACATTTACTAAAAGGTTTAACTGTTATATTTGTGTAATTGTGCATATGAAAAGTATGATTTAATTCTGTTTGAAAAGTCAAGTGGTCTGGCATCGACTAAAAATCTAAACTATTAAAGGTCCTTAAACTGTATACACACAGCTTTTGTATAGCAATTTTAAATATTTTCAGATTTTGTTAATACCTTAAGGAAACATTCTTTTCATTTTTTATGCAATATTTAAGAATTAACTTAGCCTAAATGGAGAATCTCATGCATTTATGCATATACTTTTTGTACATATTATGGGAAAGTTATACTGTAATGTGTGATTAAACACTTTTTCCGAAGTAATGCTATTTCAATAAAAGCGTCTGTTTGTTTGAAGAATCTGTACTTGAGACTGTTAAAATCCTGTAGTTTATTTAGTTTTATTTTCTTAAGAGATAAATATATAGATATTATATCAGTCCTGGATCTGAGAAAATAATTTATGTATTTTGTAACACTTAAATAGTTACCAGGGTAATAAACTTTAAAGAATTAGGTCCAGAAAAAAAATATATTTTGCGATTTTTTTTTTTAAAATATTTATTGATATAGTGTGTCTATAATAATATAATAATTATCCTTTTTTTGCATATCAAAAAATGTAACATGGTTATTTTTCTTGAAAACAATTTGAGCTCATAACAAATAATATATCTTTTTTGATTAATAAAATTTGGTAGCCAAGGGCTATAACTCAAGTCTGCATTATTTTAGAGTAGTATTAACATGTTAATGTTTAAATAATTGACATTGTAGAATTTTTTGGTTCATGATTTTTGCATTCTTATTTTGATCAGAAAGTCACTTACTTATATTTGCAGGAATATTTTCAACTTTCATGTAGCAATTTAAGATTAGGCAATATTCCCTTAAAAAGGTAGATTTCTAAATTTCAATAAATGCCCTCTGAAATTTAACTACACAATTGTGTAAGTTAATAGTAAGGCATTCTCCATTTCAAAGTTAATCAGTGTCTTTCAAAGATTATCAAAGATTTTAAGCAGATTTAGTTGATAATCTGACAGATAAAATCGTCACATTTTCTAGTTTCCTTAGCAACAGTCTTTGTTTTTCACATCTTTATCTAGCTGCCATATTTAAAATTGTAGTCAAATATATACTATACTATAATATATCCATTTATGAAGAAGTGTAAAAGAGAGTGATTTATCTATGTGTATACACAAAAAGGATATATAAATATGATATTTTCTGTGATTTTTGGACTTTTATTCACATTTGTGCTATCCACACATCATCCGAGAGATTATCCTCTAGGTATTATTTAATTATTATGCTAAAAAAATCTTTGCATCAATATTTTTATACAATAATACATTTTGTATTATAAATAATTTTCGATCATTATGTTAAATATACAAACCTGTACTGCTTTTTTAAATAAGCATATCACTAAATTCACTTTTTCATGTAAAAAGATGAAGAAAATATAGTAATGGTTTTATATAGAAACTAATATATATTTAATGCTATATACATGTATATACATGTATTCAGACACGTAACATCGATACAAAGTGAGGAAATCCCAGGATTTTTTCTGTGATAATTTGATTTTCCATGAGTAGATATCTTAATTTAATTCATTGTATGCAAATGTCCCCGTTGATTTGTTGTATTAATTCCATCAGGATCATGAATATATTTCATATTTTCACTTGACTGCCTAAATTGAGTGATTTGTGAGGTATATTATCTTGACAGTAGGTATAATCTCATATAAATTATGAGAAAACTTTGGTTTAGAGTTATGTACTCTTATAAAATCTTCACTGTGGAGGAAGATTATGTTCTTTTATAACTCTTCAGTCTGGAGGAAGATTTGGTATTAAAATGTTATTTAAAGTGATTTTATTCTTGATTTTGCATAAAGTTGTAATTTATCGGAGTGGGATAAATTCAGATTTGTTATTTGAGACAAAGATATGATAAACTTTAACAACCTAGGTGTTCCAGATATAAATTTTATTACAAATTTGCTTTGTTGTTAATATATATAATAGCGGAATAAGTGGATGATTTTATCATATTTTGGTACATATGACTGTAAACATTTTTTGTCACATGGTATGATCAACGGTATATGTAATTATGTCACATACAGTATATTATTGCTTTGACATGCATGCTCTTGCAGTGACAAGTATTTGTATTGCACCATTTGCTTTCTGTCACAACAATAGGCAATTTTTGTAACATACATTTTGTTTGATCCCATGCAGATGCTTTTACAGATTAATATGTAAATTAAGGAACCATATTGGAAAACTTTTCTTTATCTTTTCTTCAAAAAGAGGATAATTCTATAAAATCTTGTTTATTTCAGAGGTTGGATACATTATGCCGGCAAATTTCTCGATCTACAGAGTCAGTAAACACTACAGTCCCCAGCATGATATAAGAAAGAATCTCTTCTTCAAAAACTTCCAGGATAATATTATTCCAAGAAAACCAGCGTAAGTACATGTTAGATTATCTCCCTTGTTTTTGTCAAAAAAAGGACTTTGCCTTGAATTTGACAGTTTGTCATAGAATTAAGCTTTGGATTGGACAATTTTAAAGGATGTGTGGCTTATAATCTTTGGCTACTGAATCTATATTTAGAATTGATCAGCTGACTTAGACTGGTCTTTAAGTTTTTTTCATCTGAGTATAATTTCTTAAAGCATGAAACAGTCCGTTTAAAATGTGTCAATAATTTTGATTGGTTGATTATGAGCACATGCATTGTCTTGACCAATGGCAATGTTGCATTTTCAGACTAGTAGTCAATGTATGAGAGATGGGATGTAAGTGTGAGTGATTTAGTACAGTGAGATAGCACATTTTTAAGTACAATACAGAGATTTGTTTTGAAGTTTTTAAAATTAATGTGCTGTAGTAGAATATTAAGTGAGAAGAATGTAAAAATTAATGCTCGGCAGTTGAAATTTGGTTTTCAAAAATCACTGTTAGTAGATAGTTTTTTGACATACTTGTTGAAAATTTTGGGAATATTTGAATAACTTTATTAAGGTTTTCAAGACTGTATAACAGGTGCAAGTATTATTATGTATCACTGGTATACTACAGTCATTAAGATATCACTTTTTTAAGGAAAGAAATTTCTTTAACATAATTTATGGTATGGCAATCTCCGTTATCATGTTTGACATAAGAATTCATATGTTAACGGTTTGTAACAATGTGACAATTACATTAAATCATTAAAATGAACATGATGCCAATATTTACATTATAATCACCGGCCATTATAGTTTGCTCAGGATAGCATCATAATTATACTGGTACGGTTCTTCAGATTTAGTAAAAGATGACCTCCAGAGTAATGCATATTTTTCACAAAAGACATTATACATTTTCTTTTTATGACATTCTTTGTTTGGTGCTATGTCATAAAGATGCTTTTGGATAAGTTGCCCATAATGTCTAATGGGATAAACCATTGATAATCTTAAAATGGACCAAAACATACGTTTATTCACTACACTCGGGATACTTACTTGAGATATAGACTTTCCAACTACTGATGTATCTAAAGTCATAATTTCACAAATTTTCTATGTTTAAATGTTGAATTCTGTTTAAGCTGATACGGGGGTATGGAGAGTAGCTTGCAGTCCATGAACACTGGCTCTCAGCAACATTTTCAAATTTGCCATTTTGGGTGTTCTTTAGGGACTTATAATAACTAATGTTTGATTATAAAAGGACTCAATGGCTTAACACAGTAAATAACTTTAATGGACTTCTTCATCTTTCTGTCTGAAATAATGCATGGAGGGGCACTAGAGGTCTTCCTCCACCAGTAAAGCTTTAAAGTTGCTTAGCATCCAACCAAAATTGAAAAAGAAAATTAAAATGTAATGAGAAAAAGATTCAAATGTTTTGATATTGTTTTAAAATGTTTTTAAAATTACATTAAGATTAGATTTATTGCAGGGGAAATTAACTTGGATATTAAATCTGCTCCGTATTTCATATGTGAAAGACATTGATAGTCTCTACCATATTAAACTGTTATCAAATTCTCTCAAAATTAAAGTTGATTTCTGCTGGCAGGGAATTAATATGATAGAATTAAATTACGTTTATCAGTAAATTTATCTGAATTGTTGTAGAATTGATTTGAAGGAAAAACATTAAATTTAATGTTTTAAGAACTAAAAGCAGAATATTGAATGTCAAAAGATGTGCCAACTTTGATTATCGTTGGGAGATGAATGTTCTTCCTGGACTGATAAGAATAATTTATATTTACAATTTTATTTTTTTTTCAAATATTTTTATGAGAAATTACATTCTCACGGAAGAGGGAGAATTTTGTAGGTAGAGGAATAAAGTGCAATAGATTTGCCAAGCAGGTATGATTACAAGTTTTAGGCTGTTATATTTTAAGTATGACCATGAGAGAGCCAGGGGCTGCTTGCCTGTGTCAAATTTTTTTAGCAAGTTTATAGGTCATACTTAAGTATCCGACTTGCAGGCTCAGGCTTCAATCGGCATAGTTTTAACCTAATACTGACAATTGATCAACTGACTGCAGCTCAAAAATATATTAAGAAAAAAATTAAAGGGACTCCACTGAGGTTTTTTTGACACTTAGGAACTGGAACAAATTTTTCAAATTTAATGTTCCATTTGATGTAGATCTAGATCAATAATTTTTTTGCAGAATTTTTAATCAATCACTCTAGAATTTTCCAATTGTGAAAAAAAATAACCCAAAATTTAAAGCAGGCAAAGAATAGCACACGGATATGATTTCTTATTAATTATCTCTAAACTATCTTTTGCATATTTTTCTGTTTTAAGTGGCACAGCTGATCAGATACATTAGAAATTAAAATTTTAGGTTTTTTAGGTATATGGACCTCAGTTCCTTTAATAGTAATCTTTACAAAGTGTAAAAAAGTGAATAAAATTTGAATTTTCAATTTTTTATATGCTAAACTTTTTGAATATTTATGTTTTTTTAAATATTTGAGTGCAACATTTCTATAAGAGTGCAAAGGAGCAATAATTTAACACAAAGTGATATAAAGACACAAAAGAGAAATGGGACGTGACACAGAATGTACAGAAGTATTTTAGTGCATTTTTAAGTAAATGGAAAATTGATTTTAAGCTGTGGTTTTAAAACATGTTTAATCTATTGATATTGTGGTTTTTCTAGATGTCAACACTACTTGTTAAATTATCAAGTGAAAAATTGGCTGACACCATTAGAGTGCAGATATAAGCCTCCTAAAGTCATTGATAAATTGAGACACTGGTTTCAAGTGCATGTGAAATTGGGACTGTTGATATATAAAGTACATGTACCCTGTCTGTTTTTTGTCTGTGTTTGTCTGTTTTATAATGTAGTAAACATGTTATTTATTTAAATTTGTTTAGTTACAAACCCTATTACAAGTAGAGAAACTGATAGCGAACAGCATGGATCCTGATCAGACTGCGCGGATGTGCAGGCTGGTCTGGATCCATGCTGGTCGCAAACCCACTATTTTGGTTATGTCATGGTGCTGCTCATTTCTATTAAATGAAGGTCTGTTCTTTCATCCCCTGCTTCAGACACTAATAAAGCAACAACAAAACAAAAACATAGTTGCTACAGTTTAGCACTTTATAATGTTCATTTGAATTGATTGTTGATTTAAAGTATCGCCAAAATATTTCAAGAAAATCAAACTTGAGAAAAATGTACTAAGATTTTAAAAAATACAAGATTCAAGTGTGTGATTAATGACTGAAATATTCATCTCAATATTTGTGCTGCATAATTTACACAGTAGAGCCTTTTTTTGCTTATTTTGACATATTTTTGGTAATTTACATGGATTGAAAGTGACGTTTGCAATGTGTTAATTACTTTCTTTGTTTACTTTAGAAGAATTAACTTTTAATTACATTTTAAAACTTTTCATGAAAATTAGCAGGAATCTGGAGGCATGCTGCTTTAATATGGTAGAGACTCGAGTTTTGTTTATGCCACCAGTTTTAAACCAGGCTAGCCTGTACAGGTCTTTGATGTAACTGACCAGTCGGTATATAACACTGGCTGCTCTTTTTCTGTTTGTTAATTTGTCTGGTTTTATGCCTATTTCAACATAATCTTTGGTCATATATATGTGGTAAGGCACACTGTCTTACAGGATTGAGTAGATATAGTACATTGCTTAATGATAAGAGAGTATTAAGTATTATATAATGAATGTATTATAATTATTAAAAAATAAATATTATGAAATGAATTTGTCAATTCAGATATTTTATAAAGTGGATTAAAAGAAGTGTCTGGAATCTCTTTGAACATTAATTCATATAATTTATATGACCACATATTTGGTAGCTGGATCCTTCGTTGATCTTCGCTGAGTGTCTCATTTGTTTTGATTTCAAAGATAAGATCTAGAAATTTTCACCGCAATCATTTACTATGATGAGTATACCCTTAACCACACATCTTTACCACATCTTTACCACAAAAAGAGATAATGAAATATATCAGATAAAAATGTCACTAGGTTTACTTTGAAGTGGGTGGGGTTATTTTTTAAAACCGCAAAAGTGAGCCAAGTGGCATAATTACCATCTTTTGTGGTTATAAAATGCACAGAGAACAAGCAGATATTAAATCATGTGAAATGAAGTAAACATAGAGGTGGTATAATGAATTGTTAAAAAAGGGACTTTTTATTACACTATGTTTACCTAATAATACCTAATTTTAAGGTGAGCTGGTGCAGTTTGACGATCATAATATTTGGTTTTACTTTGATACTTATATATTAAATTTACAACTTTTAAATCATAAATAAATATTGAAGTAAAGTTGTTTAATGTCTTTATATATTTTGGTCTAAATATTGATGTATTCTTTTGATTACGATCAAGTCTTTTTCCTTTGTTAATGTGTTTTGTTTGTGGCCAAGTGGTTTTAGTCTTTAAGTTGACTTCAAAAAACTTGCCTCTTGCCACTGTTGGGTTCAAATCCCACCTTTGACTTTGGATATATTCCTCTAGCTTGTAAATGTTAGTAAACTCATGACGTCACTATAGTCTAACCAACTGGTAAGTTTTATGACCATAGCTATCGCCTAAACCCGGCCTAAATGGAGTAATCATAATAAAGGTCAAGGTCACAAAAGTGTGTTGTTTATTCTGTAGGTTCTGTGAATGAAATAACAATTCTTCTTCATTAGGTTATTTCAAAGTAAAGACTCTCTTTTAGAAAAAGCAGTATTTAGTTTTACAAATTGTGCATTTTCTTTGCGTCTGCTTCACCTGCAAGCTGCAGACGGCAGACAGCAGGCTTTGGAAAGATTTAATAAGGATGCAATGTAATTAATGGTAACTGGCACTTCAAACTGTTTGAGTTGTGACACTATTGCATTGCAGTGGCCATAATATATACTGTATTGCAGATGCCTGAAACACAAACAAAGCAGATGTT